ATGTGTATGTGATGTATGTGTGTGTGTGTGTGTGATGTGTGTGTGTTATGTGTGTGAGTGTGTGTGTGTGTGTGTGTGTTGTGTGGGTATGTGTGTGTGTGTGTGTGTGTGTATTTTGTGGGGTTGTGTGTGTGATGATGTGATAGGTGTGTGAAATGTGTATTTGTTATTAATGAATACCTGTATGGTGTTGTGTTGTTGTATGTATTAGGCTTGTCTTAATTCGTTACACTTGTTTCCCCTGTGTGTAACAGAGCAGAGCATGTGATTGGAGTGTGTAGTGTAGTAGTGTGCGTGTGTGGAGTGTGTGTGAGTGGGTGTGTTGTCGTGTGAGTGTGTTGAGTGTGTCGGGGTGTGTGTGTGTGAGAGAGGGGTGTGTTGGTGTGATGTGGGAGTGGTGGTGGTGTGTGGGTGGGTGTTGTGTGTGTGTGAGGGGTGTGTGCAGTGTGTGGGGAGGTGTGTGGTGTGGTGGGTGTGTAGTGTGCGTGTGGTGTGGTAAGAGATTTGAGGAAAAAGAGGGAAAATAGAGAAGTGAGGAACATGATTTGTTTATCAGTAACGAGCCTGGCATTGTAAAGTCTAGAGCAGTATAAGGACTGGCTAATTCGATGTAACATTGGTATTCAATGTGTGAACGGGAGCGAGAGGCAGTGTTGCAGTGTGACCGTGAGAGGCAGTGTTGCAGTGTAACAGAGGCAGTGTTGCACAGTGTGAGCGAGAGGCAGTGTTGCACAGTGTGAGAGCGAGAGGCAGTGTTGCAGTGTAACAGTGAGAGGCAGTGTTGCAGTGTGTGAGCGAGAGGCAGTGTTGCACAGTGTGAGCGAGAGGCAGTGTTGCACATTGTGAGCGAGAGGCAGTGTTGCACATTGTGAGCGAGAGGCAGTGTTGCAGTGTAACAGTGAGAGGCAGTGTTGCACAGTGTGACGGGGGCAGTGTTGCACAGTGTGAGCGAGAGGCAGTGTTGCACAGTGTGAGCGAGAGGCAGTGTTGCAGTGTAACAGTGAGAGGCAGTGTTGCACAGTGTGAGAGCGAGAGGCAGTGTTGCACAGTGTGATAGCGAGAGGCAGTGTGCGGTGAAGTGAGAGCAGTGTTGCACAGTGTGATAGCGAGAGGCAGTGTTGCAGTGTACAGTGTAGGCAGTGTTGACAGTGAGGAGGGCAGTGTTGCACAGTGTGAGAGCGAGAGGCAGTGTTGCAGTGTAACAGTGAGAGGCAGTGTTGCACAGTGTGAAGCGAGAGGCAGTGTTGCAGTGTAACAGAGGCAGTGTTGCACAGTGTGAGAGCGAGAGGCAGTGTTGCACAGTGTGAGCGAGAGGCAGTGTTGCAGTGTAACAGTGAGAGGCAGTGTTGCACAGTGTGAGAGCGAGAGGCAGTGTTGCACAGTGTGAGAGCGGCAGTGTTGCAGTGTAGCAGTGAGAGGCAGTGTTGCAGTGTAACAGTGAGAGGCAGTGTTGCACAGTGTGAGGCAGTGTTGCAGTGTAACAGTGAGAGGCAGTGTTGCAGTGTAACAGTGAGAGGCAGTGTTGCAGTGTAACAGTGAGAGGCAGTGTTGCACAGTGAAAGAGGCAGTATTGCACAGTGAAAGAGGCAGTGTTGCAGTGTAACAGTGAGAGACAGTGTTGCACAGTGTGAGCGAGAGGCAGTGTTGCACAGTGTGAGAGCGAGAGGAAGTGTTGCACAGTGTGAGAGAGGCAGTGTTGCACAGTGTGAGAGTGAGAGGCAGTGTTGCACAGTGTGAGAGCGACAGGTAATGTTGCACAGTGTGAGTGTGAGAGGCAGTGTTGCACAGTGTGAGTGAGAGGCAGTCTTGCACAGTGTGACAGTGAGAGGCAGTGTTCCACAGCGTTACTGAAAGGCAGTGTTCCACAGTGTGAGAGTGAGAAGCAGTGTTGCACAACGTGAGAGGGAGTATTCCACAGGGTGAGTGAGAGGCATTGTTGCACAGTGTGAGAGTCAGAGGCAGTGTTCCACAGTGTAAGAGTGAGAGGTATTGTTGCACTGTGAGAATGAGAGGCAATGTTCCATGTGAGTGACAGGCAGTGTTCCATGTGAATGATACTGCCAACCGGTCAACACCGGTGGCAGGGTTGTCTAGGTTGCTATGACTGCGGTGTTGCAATGTTGCTAGTTTCATTGACAGGGGTCACGAATCACCAGTAAGTTGATAATGTTACATTAATAATTATTTTTTTTAGCGCATCGGCCGTTTCCCACCAAGGCAGGGTGACCCAATAAGGTAGAAACACTTTCATCATCATTCACTCCATCACTCTTGCCAGAAGGGCGCCTACACTTGAGTTATAAAACTGCACCTTATCAACACCCCTCCTTCAGAGTGCCGGCACTCTACTTCACATCTCCTGGACTCGTGTCCGGCCTGCTCACCGAGTCATTCTATTTCGTTCCATCCTCTCTAAATATCCGAACCACCTCAACAGCCCCTCTTCAGCCCTCTGGATAATACTTTTAGTAACCCCACACCTCTTCCTAATTTTCAAACTACCGATTCTCATTATATTCACATCGCACATTGCCCTCAGACACGACATGAGTGCCTCCATCCTTCTCCTTGTTGCAACATTCACCACCTATGCTTCACACCCATATGAGAGTGTTGGTATAACTATTCTGTCATACATTCCCCTCTTTGCTTACATGGATAACATTGTCTTCACAGACTCGTCTGTGCACCACTCACGTTTTTCCCTTCATCAGTTCTATGATTCACCTTGTCTTTCATAGACCCATCTGCTGACACGTCCACTCCTAAATATGCGAATATATTCACTTTCTCCATGCTCCCTCCCTCCAATCTGATATCAGATCTTTCATTACCTTCATTTTTTATCCTCATCACCTTACTCTTTCCTATGTTCACTTTTAATTTCCTCCTTTTACATACCCTACCAAACTCGTCCACCAACCTCTGCAGCTTCTCTTCAGAATCTCCCAAAAACAGTGTCATCAGCAAAAAGCAACTGTGACAACTCCCACTTTTGTTAGGTTCTTTATCTTTTAACCCCACACCCCTTGCCAACGCCCTCGCATTCACTTCTCTTACAACCCCATCTATAAATATATTGAGCAACCATGGTGACATCACTCATCCCTGCCTAAGGCCTACTTTTACTGGGAAATAATCTGCCTCTCTCCTACATACTCTAACCTGAGCCTCACTATCCTCGTAAAAACTCTCCACTGCTTTCAGTAACCATTCTCCTATTCCATACATTTGCAACATCTGCCACACTGCCCCCCCCCCATCCACCCTAACATACGCCTTTTCCAAATCCATAAATACCACAAAAAGCTCTTTACCCTTATCTAAATCCTGTTCACATATTTCACTGTAAACACTTGGCCTACACACCCCCTACCCTTCCTAAAGCCTCCTTCATCTGCTATCCTACTCTCCGTCTTACTCTTAATTCTTTCAATAATAACTCTACAGTACACTTTACCAGTTAGTTAGTTAGTTAAAGATTAGCCGGTATTCTCCCGGCCCGGGCCTTGTCCAAGTGGTGGCCCGGCCTTGGCTCCCTCTTTAGGGAGTGTCTGAGACCTAAGTCTCCCATGGGAGGAGGCACAAGTACCTCCTCATCTTCGGGACCAACTGTCCCCAGGCCTAGCCACAAGCTAGGCCTCTCTGGTCTGCCATCCCCTCCCCAAGGGGAAAAATGGGAATGACAGTCTTATAAGCTAAAGGCTCGGGCTCAGGCACCTACCCTACCCTAGAAGGGTTAGGCATGGTGTCGATCACTTTACCAGGTATACTTATCAGGCTTATTCCCCTATAATTTTTCACTTTGCCTTTATACAAAGGAACTATGCATGGTCTCTGCCAATCTCTAGGTACCTTACCTCTTAATATTGTTTTATTAACATGATTATAATTGTTTTATTTTTTATAATTATCAACCTAGAGAGGTTCATGCAACGACAGAGGAATAAGAAACAGGTTTGAGCCGAGGAAAAGATACGGGGTAGATCTACGTCCTTTACCCAAGAGCCCTTCACCAGCATCATGGCTGGCGTATGATGCCTTGATTATCGTGAAGGGCTCTTGATCCAGAGAATTAGCACTGCCTTTCCCTTTCTTGGTTTATTTCTATAGTGACAACGTACCGTTAGACAAAATATACTTTAGTTTACACAAAACGTTCCTCTAAACTTGTGGTTTAGACAAAGCTTACTTGTTGTCTGGGCAAAACTTTAGACAAAAACGTTCCTCCAATTTAGACAAAATGTTCTAGCTTAGATAAAACGTTCGAGTTTAGACAACTTCAGTTAGTTTTCACATGATCTATGAGCTGTCTCAACCATTCCTGAATCCTGTAAATTCAGAAGAATTAATATTCAGTTGAGTTATTTGTGGCAACACATATAAAAAATCCCCCAAAATATAATCACATACAAACAGATGTCAATACACTAATTTTTTTTTCAGGCACCTGTAAATTTGTAAATGGTTTACACTGTTCATGGGGACGTGTAGAATGAGTAATGGTGGTACATCGCCTGGGGAATGGGAGGTAACAGTGATTAGAAGATGGGAAAGAAGATTCATTACTTAGATCAAGACGGTAGGATTTTTACAGCACTACTAACACAACTATCGACTGCTTTGAGAACACCGCCAGCAGGTGGTGGTTTACTGCCCGTATAGAGCCAATAAAGCACTTAAACTGCTGGGAATGTTTAAAAGTGGTGAATATGTCCTCCCTGAAGAGGAGGAGAGCCATAATAACGTAGAGAACCTCGTCGCACACGAACACACTACCATCGCTCACACGACCCTAAACATTCCTCGTCGAGCAGCATAATACACAACACAGCTTTCATTTAGACAGTTTTTCCCAAAAGAATTTTGGCACTTGAATAAAAAAAAAAGATCAGCTATGCTCCAGATGCTCTGTAAACATAACTGTGCTCTGCTAGATTTCCGTATCACCCAATTAGTTGGTATTCTGCCATACAACTTTGTCTGGTTTAGTTACTTACTTGGAAAGTAACGTAGGGCGCTTCCGATACAAGTTCTTGATGAAGGCGATGTAGGGGCAGTGAAGGATCATGATGACCAGCACTCCTCCCACCTGAGCCCCGATGGTCCAGCCCAGGGACATAGCCAGCTGGTTGCCGGCCAGGTCGGGGTCAAAGTCGGGCATAACGACGAAAGGATCCCGTCTGCTGTAGTAACACCAGAACCTGCGGCCTGGCTTTCCGAAATACTGGTAAAATATGGAACAGTTGACCGCGGGAGGGTAGCCACAGCCTTTAACATTTATAAATAACGAGGCGTTTAGCACGTCCCAGTGAGCGGGGTCAATGTAGGTGGTAACGTTGTGGGTCTCCTCAACTGTTAGCGAACTGTTCCCACCCACTTCACACTCCCCATCCATTGAGGCCACTACGGTTTCAGACTCGTTTCGCACGACACAGTTTCTGTACACCACTGTGATTTGCGAGCAATTGTATATGTCCTTGGTGCAGCCCTCAGTACACGAACACCAAGATATGTTTTTAATGCCAACTACCAGCTCAGCGAAAGTGGTCATGCAGAGGACGGGCGTAGGTTGGAATTCGTAGCTGAGAGTGGCTAGCGCTGGGTCAATGATCATAGGCACCAGGAATAACAAGGTGAAGAGGCCTCCTATGATCATCAGACCTGACAGGATGGTAAGATACAGTTTCAGCAATGTTAAACATGAGGTTTTCTTTTTCTTTTTAACTTTTCTCTCTTTGAGGAGCTGTCTGAGGGCCTCCTTGCCGGCATTCAGCTGAGCTCGGTCCATAAGCTCCTCTAGACGCCGCTGTTCATCTATCTGGCTCTGCTGGGTGAGATCGGGTCTCTTCTCCTTGAGGTCCTCTTTGGAGGAGGAGGTGGAGGGGCCGGCAGAGTAAGTGAGCCGCACCACATTGTCCCTACCGGGGACTTGTGCTTCCTGCGCCAGCATCACGCACTCCGACGCTCGGCCCTACCCATCACCAGCAAGTACACGACTCTCACTCACCGCCCGCCGGCGCCACAGATCGCGGAACTGACGTAGGCTGCACTGGAGCCGCCTCACTCATGTTTCCTCCGCGAGTCTCCACTCTCAAGTGAGTTGCCTTCACCACAGGTACCTCTGGTTGCTTCCACTGCCACCTGGCGGCAGCACCCCACACTATCTCATAAACATATACCTGCCACCTGGCGGCAGCACCCCAGATTACCTCATAAACAAATACCCACTATGCACTCATGCACATATACAAGGACGTATATGTGGTTCAGTGTATGTACACTGAGAGGTTACTGCCAGTGTATGTACACTGAGAATTTAATCCTCATTTTAAGAATTAATTAGTGGTGGACAGGTTATATGCAGTCCCATGATAGTTATGAAGTCGATAGGCTATAAACTCAATTAACCACCGAAACCCAGGTAAACCCAGACAATAACACTGATCCCAGAGCTGAGAGGAGTGACCTACGATAAAGGACGGAAAAAAAAAAAGAACTGAGCCTGATGATCTCAAAAGAAAGACGAACCAGAGAGGAGACATGATACGAATGTGAAAGATATTCACAGAAATTTGAATGGGCAGAGAGTGATAATGGAGTGTGGGGATCAGGAACAAGGTAATTACAGATACAAACGAGCCATAGGGATGTCAGGAAGTGCACACACACACACACACACACACACACACACACACACACACACACAACAACACACACACACACACACACACACACACACACACACACACACACACACACACACACACACACGTACTCATATACAACAGGCCTAGTGTTAATCGGCATGTGCTAGGACAAAATGGTGACTATACACACACACACACACACACACACACACTACACACACACACACACACACACACACACACACACACACACACACACACAGTGATAAGACCAGCAATTAAGGCAAAATTTGTCTTTAATTAAAAAAATCGACGCAGTTTAATGCAAAAAAATAATTTTAACTGTTACTTAATTGACCTTCTAATTCACTGTTTTTATACCATTGTATCAAGAGTAGATTGTCATCATCAAAGACGTTTACTGTCTGAGATTAGTGCCTGAGATTAGTGCCTGGGATTAGTACCTGAGAGTAGTACCTGGGATTAGTACATGGGATTAGTGCCTGGGATTAATACCTGAGATCAGTTCCTGGGATTAGTACCTGAGAATAGTGCCTGGGATTAGTACCTGAGATTAGTACCTGGGATTAGTGCCTGGGATTAATAACTGAGATCAGTACCTGGGATTAGTGCCTGGGATTAGTGCTTGGGATTAGTGCCTGGGATTAGTGCCTGGGATTAATACTCGGGATTAGTGCCTGGGATTAGTGCCTGGAATAAGTGCCTGGGATTAGCGCCTGGGAGATTAACATCTGGGATTAGCACCTGGTATTTGTGCCTGGGATTAGTGTCTGAGATTAGTGTCAGGGATTAATACCTGTGATCAGTGCCTGGGATTAGTGCCTGGGATTAGTGCCTGGGATTAGTGCCTGGGATAAGTGTCAGGGATTAATACCTGGGTTTAGTGCCTGGGATTAGTTTCTAAGATTAGTGTCAGGGATTAATACCTGGGATTAGTGTTGGGATTAATACCTTGTATTAGTGCCTATTATTATTATTGTATTATTACAATGCCTTGTAATAATAGTGACTATTGTAATATTGGCAGTAATTATTGTAATATTAACAGTGGCTATTGTGACAGTAACAGTGACTGTTGTAATAATAACAGTGACTCTGGGCGTTGATGACCGGGTCGGGGTCGTTGAGCATCTGAACAAGAAGAAGAATTAATTAGATTTGAAGGGGTTAAATAAGATTTGATGAGGTTAATTAGATTTGAAGGGGTTAATTAGGTTTGAAGGGGTTAATTTTATTTGAAGAGGTAATTTGATTTTAGGGGTAATTAGATTTAAAAGGTGTTAATTAGGTTTGAAGGGGCTAATTTTATTTGAAGAGTAATTTGATTTTAGGGATAATTAGATTTAAAGGGTGTTAATTAAGTTTGAAGGGGCTAATTTTATTTGAAGGGGTAATTTGATTTTAGGGGTAGTTAGATTTAAAGGTGTTAATTAGGTTTGAAGGTCGAAGTCACAGTTTGTGTTACTCTCACACAAAAGATCAGATACGGTACTAATGGTAGCTTGTCTTCCGAAAACGCCAGAAATTTAGATCTGACGTGGGTACCTGAGGCTCCTGCTGTGATGTGAAGTCAAGACATGCTTACCTGAGGCTTCTAATGAGACGTGAAGTCAAGTAATTCCTCTTGAGGACTTCTTTTAGGGGGTCGAAAAAAGTGACTTGATACAGAGTCGATGTGTTCAATCCATCAATCTTGAGAACACATCAACTCTAGGCTGAGGGACTGATTACCTCAAATTCCTCATCTCCCATCGTTCTTCTCTGTAATGGACTGAAGAAGCCACTCGCTGGCGGTTTCCGTAATAATTAATAAGTCGACGTCTCATTGGCGGTCTCTTCTCCTATGGCTTATTTGCTTCCTTTTTTCCACCCCAAATCCCCCCAAACTTAGGAAAAGAACCTTGAGACATTTCAGTCCGTTCTGGGTCATTGTGAATGGTACTGGACGCGGACCAAGAGGTTCCCCTCTCTCTATGACGATTTTTCTGTCCCTCCTTGATCACTCTGAATGGTCCTGGACACGGACGAAAAGGTCCCTTCCCCTATGGACTGATTTTTTTTTTATTGGTGAACTGTTCCAGCCAGGGTACTGTGATTTCCATATTCTACCTAGTTTCACCGTTTGTTCTACCATGTCTAATTTTGGCTCAGCAATGTTTACAAAACGGAGGGAAGTGGTACACAGTACCGACACGGTAGAAATGGCGACACCGCTAAGTGAATCTGGGAATTATGCCACTGGACGACAAGACCTGGGTCTCCGCTACCCTCAGGAGGGTCCATACACATGTGATCATATGTGGGTGGAAGCGCTAAATTCCGCGTGGAGGGAGGGGTGAGAATGGGAAGCAATCAGAGTCGATCTAAGGAAAAGGAGGATAGGTTCAATTCCTAGTGTCATGAGAACCTCAGAGGCATCAAGGAACCTCTCTCTCTTTCTCTCTCTAGGAGATATACTCTCAGAGAGAGAGAGAGAGAGAGAGAGAGAGAGAGAGAGAGAGAGAGAGAGAGAGAGAGAGAGAGATTGTACATGAGAGGATTTAATACTTTATTAACGAGAAGAATCATCTTTATTGAACCTTAATAAACAGAGGTTGAACCCTCACCTAATTTATCTCTTTTACAAATCATTATACAAAAATCGCTTATATATTAACCACGTAACAAAATAGTATAACAGTCCATACAAGTTTATACACAGAATAAATAACAATGCTATGTACAGAATAAATAAATTACAACAGGAGGCACTTTCCTGTTTCCTGACGAACAAAACACTCAACAGTTAAAATTTTAACTGATTTGATATCAGATTATGGTACACAATACCGGCAAGTGATGCAACACTTGGGTATCGTTACTGCTGAAAAGTTTCGCCTGTGCAGTAGGCTTTTTCAGTCGACTACAAAGGTGATTTTAATACTGGAGACAGTGGAAGAAATGGCGTGCTAATTCTGGGGTGTTTAGTCCCTCTGCCTTCGTAGAAGGTCGTTAATTTCTTGGCCTTGAGTGAAAGTGGTCAGGTACTTAGCCTTTATTTAGTAAGTTCTGAGATTAAAATGCTCCTTAGCGTCTACATCCAGAGCCATTTTAACATCAGCATTCCTCTGAGCCTCTACTTGTGCCCTCAACCTGAGCCACGCATCGTAGCGAGCCAGGGAGTGACTCAACACACTTTGTCTGTAAGAGGCTAAGGCTCCACCTCTTTGTAATACATCGACTTCCTCGCTGACATCCCGCCCCAGCGATGACATTTCCTGTAGTAAATTTGCGTACGCGACGTATGCGTTGATGCTGTATGTGCTTTGGACAATTTTCTGCATGGCGATTGCGAACGCCGAGGCATAATCGTGTTCGTAATTGACTGAAGGGTTCAGTGCAAGAGTGTTTGTTGTGATTGGTGGGTGGAGAGGTCCCTCAGGGAAGGATTCTGCTTCTCTGTGTGGTTGTTGGGTGTTTATGGTTGATATGAGGGAGAGGGGCTGGTTCTCTCGTCTGCTGGGGTGCTGAGAGAAGTGCCGGTGCTGAGACTCCTTGATGCGCTGCTGCTGAGATAAAAGATACATGCTGTGTGCTGTGTTGGAAGTCAACATGCTGTGTGCTGTGCTGGAAGTCAACATGCTGTGTATTGTGTTGGAAGTCAACATGTGTGTTGTATTAGAGGACAACATGCTGTGTGCTGTGTTAGATGACGGAGCCGCTGTCCTAGTAGAGGTGATTACACTGCCGTATTGTTGCATGTCATGTGAGGGTTCGTCAATGTTCGGTCTTTCTACTTTGAGTTGCAATGTGTTTCCTCTAGGGAAAGTTACCGTGGACTGCTTGTTTCGTTCCGTGTTGCGCTGATGGCTGAGTTGGTGCTGTGTTGCTGCTGTGTTGCTCACGGCGCAGCATTGCTGTGGTGCCGCTGACGAGAAGAACAGCTCGTGGCGGCAGAGTGTTCCTGGGTAGTTACTGACTCGCCGCAGAGAACACTCATACTCTGTCCTGTTTGATTTATAGCGCAAGAGTCATTATCCTTCTCTTTTTTAAATTCAAGGATATTCATCGCTGGTATGGTAACCATTGGTATGTCCCCATGTCCTCTCTGGCACTGAAGGCCATTGGTAGTTGCACTGGCATTTCTCTTGGTATTTTTGCCTTCCTGAGTTGGGTCCGAGACGTGGTGCGTTGCCCCTGAGGTCAGAACTGTGTTGCAATTGACAGTAATTGTCGACTGAGCATTATAAACATTTCGCTCTTGCTGTGTAATGCATCCGTACCGTTCATCACCTTCTCTTTCGGTTTTAATTTCCACGATGTTTTCTCTTGGTATGGTCACCATGGGAAGCCTGCTTTGTACCCCGGGGTCATGGGGGGTTTGCTGGACTGTAGCAATATTCTCCTTGGTGTCTGACTCTTCTGAATTGGTTGACATGCCGTTCTCATCTGCGGCTGTTCCGTTTGTTGCTTCTGCTGTGGGATTTGGATCACCTGCCTGTGATGCAGACTCTACGCAGACGTTCATATTTCTGCTGCCCGCTTCTTCACCAACAGAATTTGTGCCGGAATCCACACAGACCCTTAATTCGCCTTTAAGACCGGATTTTTCGTGCGATTTCATGTGTTGGTTGAAAGTGATTATACGAGAGAACACTTTGTCACAGAAACTACATTTATGTGTACCTGCCTGAGTGTGTATATTCCTATGCCTAGCCAAGTTACTTCTGTGAGAAAACTCTTTCCCACACACCTGACAACTGTAGGGTTTCACGTTTGTGTGGAGAATCAGGTGCTGCGCTAGATTGCTTTTCAGGGTGAATTCTTTCTCGCAAATGTCACATTTGAACATGACATCAGTCTTACTCCTTGTTTTAATTAAGAAACTCTCTAAACACTTGCGACACGTGTTTGGTTTCTGAGGTGTGTGCGAGTTCCTTCTCGTTAACAGAGGCGTTCCGCATTGTTGGCATCTTCTGTTGTAGTCCCGTGAGTGCATCTTTATGTGGCGGCACAAGTTGCTTTTATCTGCGAATGTTTTGCCACACTCGTCACATTCGTAGGGTTTCTCGCCATTGTGGCTCCTCATATGACTGTCCATGTGAGTCCTGTCAGAAAACCCTTTGTTACACTGGTCACACTGGTAGGGCCACTTGCCGGTGTGACTCCATTTATGCTTAATTAGTGCTCCCTTACGCGAGAAGAGTTTGTGACACTGGTCACATGTGTAGGGTTTGTGTCCGCTGTGTAAGAGGACGTGCTGAATCAGGACGCTCTTTCTGGAGAAGGATTTGCTGCAGTCGTGGCACTGAAAGGGTTTCTCTCCAGTATGTCTCCTGGAGTGTTGCACCAGATTGCTCTTGTGTGTGAAGGCTTTGTTGCAGTCGTCACATTTATAGGGCTTATCACCTGTGTGTATTCTCAAATGCCTCGTGAGGTCTCCCTTCTGCGTGAAGGCTTTGTCGCAAGTGCCACACCGGTGAGGCTTCTCTCCAGTGTGCATCCGCAGGTGGTGGATCAGATGCCATCTTTTGTGGAAACTTTTGCTGCACAGCTCACATATGTAGTCCTTGGTAGCGTTGCTGTTCCTTGGGTGAAACCCGCGGCGTGTTGTGCTAGTACGACTCAAGACACAATTTCTTGCCTTATTCTTGACGTTAGCTCCTCCTCCCTCCGGGGAACTGACCTGTACACTGGGCAGCTCATCTGCTGCACAAGGTACCATACTACTTACTTACGCAAATAACTACTATAACACAAACACACATATATTTATTTATAATAGCATCAAAGACATTAAATATCTGATGCTACATAACACTCTCATAAATGTATAGACGGAAATGTAACAAATGAAAGGTGTTGAATGTGAAAATAGCTCAAAGGAGATTTCAACACCGTCAATACTTGAGGTCTTCGAGTGTCAAATGTTTTCATTCGCCTTTTTAATCAAGTCATAAACACGAGTTTCAATGTATTTTACAGGAGAACTGAAGACAGAGGCTGATGATGATGGACTGAGTTGAACATCAACTGTTGTACAACCTAGAAACAGCAGCTGCCTGTTAGCGTTGGTTATTGATGTAACAGTAGTTGTCTGTTGACGTTCGTTAGTGATGTAACAGTACCTGTTTGTTGGCGTTCGTTAGTGATGTAATAATAGCTATCTATTGACGTTGGTTAGTGATGAAACAGTAGCTCTCCCTGTTGGCATTGGCTGTTGATGTCATAGTAGCCACCTGTTGGCGAGGGGTAGGGATTATCCAAGCTTGTTCTAGGCAGCCGCTAGCTGTTTGTAGCCGCACTACAACAATTTGGGAGCGTCGCTCGTGGATGGTATACGTTGCGTGCGCATGGTGACGTTCATCTGACTCGAAGGCGGATTCATCTGGATGTTAATGAAAACGGATTCGGCCACACACTTGTACAGGGAACACTCCTGAAAGATAAACATATTATTGTAGTAACTGTTATTTTTACATTATTACTATTATTACAATTATTATTATTATTATTATTAGTCACTCCAAGATAAATCATTAAGGGTCTTTATTCCTCTCTCCCAGGATGCGACCCTCACCAGTCTACTAACACTCAGGTACCTACTTACTGCAAGGTGAACAGAGGCAACAAGTATAAGGAAATATCCTCGTGCCGGGGATCGATCGCCGGTCCCTCAGTGTGTGAGCTGAGGGCGCACACATTCTGACAAGAGAATGACCGGGCGTGTCACGCGACTGAATGCTAACAAGTGATTGGCCGGGCGTGACACGTAAATGAATATTGACTAATGATTGGCCGGGCGTGTCAGGTGACTTGTGTCAGGCGCCAGGGTGCGTTCTAGCATACATAAGGATGTTATTTTGACTAATATCTCCCAAAATAATAATTTGCACATGAAATAATAATTTATGTGAGGGTATGTAAGGATTGCCGGCATTAAGAAATAAATTAATTTCTAAGTTCTGAACTGGGCTTAAAGTACATATTAGCCTTTATATATATATACGTCATGCCAAATAGGTAAACTTTGAAAGTTTGACTTAAATAGCAACGATCTTCTTGCCGAATAAGACAAGTGAAAATTTGTGTATGCATGAATTTCGCAAAAATCATTTTGAACCCAACGAAAAAAAATACGTTTCATCGTGTTTGTTTATTATTAAATTATTGTAAACGTATCTAAAATATATTTAGTTGGATTAGCCTAAATTAAATTGTGCTTAGTATAAGGTTAGGTAAGTTTTCTAAGGTTCTTTTGGTACAAAATTATTATTTTTTACATTAACATAAATGAAAAAATGTATCTTTAAACGATTAAGTGAAAATTATAGAAAAGACTTAATTTTAAATGAGTTCTTGCTAATTGACCAGTTTTACCTATTCGGCACGACGTGTATATATTATATATATATATATAATATATATAATATATATATATATATATATATATATATATATATATATATATATATATATATATATATATATATATATATGTCGTGCCGAATAGGCAGAACTTGCGATCTTGGCTTAAATAGCAACGCTCATCTTGCCATATAGGACAAGTGAAAATTTGTGTATGCAATAATTTCGGCAAAATCATTCTGAACCTAACGAAAAAAATATATTTCACTGTGTTTGTTTAGTATTAAATTACTGTAAACAAGTCTAAAATATATTTAGTTGGGTTAGGCTAAAATAAATTGTTCTTGTTATAATAAGGTTAGGTAAGTTTTCTAAGATTCTTTTGGTGCAAAATTATAAATTTTTACATTAACATTAATGAAAAAATATATCTTTAAACACATAAAAGAAAATTTCAGAAAGGACTTAATTTTAAATGAGTTCTTGCTAATTGACCAGTTTTACATATTCGGCACGACATATATATATATATATATATATATATATATATATATATATATATATATATATATATATATATTATATATATATATATATATATATATATATATATATATATATATATATTAATTCATCCATGAAACAAGTACTTTTTAAAGCAAGCAAGAACACTGCAATTAACCGGGGATCGGACCCGAGATATTTAACCAGCCTCCCGGGGCGCCTTTGTCCACTAGACCACTATGATACAAACGTATATAAATTTTAAATGTAGTCTTCCTCAACTAGTTTCTTGCCAATAGATTCATACTTTGAGTGTATTCATTTTATGCACAAATAAGAGATTGTTGGCCGCTGACGCAGTCTGACGCTTTCTGACGCCTGCTGATGTGTGAAGGACATTTTTGTGAGTGAGGAGTGAGGATATCGGTAGCCTCACTCACTCTAGCTTCTTCCATATCCTCAGGGGCCCCTTACACAATTTACCTCAGCACTTTCCTCCCAGCATCCTCACCGTAACAGAAGTAGCGGCTAGGGCACTTAAGATTCATCAGGAAACGGGACAAATGTTTCCAATGAAGGGGAGACAATGTTGTGTTGCACATAGTTTGATAATAAAGTGTGGGGGAGGATGGAAGTGAATATGACAATAAGAGAGACATCAGGTGTGGCTCTCTCGGAACATCTGTTCAGTTGTGCCTCATCACCAACACCAACACTACACTCAACAACAATGTCTAACGTAACCAGTGTTTTTTTTTCAATAATTATAAAAAATAATAACACAAATAACAACTAGATGCATTTGGGTGGCTGTTTGATCCGAGGAAGGTCTTCTCATTATAATTAAAATTGATTATTTTTGATTAAAAACTTAGTTTGACGAAATTGGCGAAAAAATTGCTAAGTTGTTACCCACAAAGCTCAAAATTTGTACAAAAATTACTTCCTGTTAAGATACACCAACAGGCAGGGTTTGAAGCTGATCTGAAGACGCATTCTCTAGTTATTACATAGGGATATAAATTGCTGAACAAAACTGACAAATTTCGACAGATGAAAGTGAGTGACAAGTTGTGTTTCAGTAAGTTCCAACAGTGGTAAAAAGTTGAAGACGATCTGTAAAGTCATTCTTCAGTAACTGATCTGATTCCAAAGATTCCATTTTTTTAACTATTTCTGTAAAATTTCAAATTTCCACTTATCCGGACTAAACTTGTGGGTTAATATATTTATTACAGAAGTCATCTTCGATAATATTTTGAGGCCAATAAGAAGAAATATTCGTTAGTTATTGAAAACAAAATTACGAATATACCATTTATTCAATAAAATTGGCAAATTGGAACGTATGGCAGCCAATGGCAGTCCGAATCTTGTGTTCAGGAAACTACGCCAGTGGTGTAAATTTGAAGCCGATCAGGTGAGTCGTTCTCCAGTTATGGCACGGATTCCACCGATTCTTTTTTTTTTTTCGTATTTTATTACATCAACAAATTAGCCAGCAAGCAAATAAAATTTAATCGTTATTATCATGTCACTAAGATTCATCAGCCATTAAATATTGAAGATGCTGAGAAGAGGTAAATTGTATTTGATTCAACGTAATTCAACGGGAATAAAAATTCCGCTTATTTGTGAGGAGTTGGGATGTTATCCCAGCCATTGTAGGATGCTGGGGATGCTGGGGATGCTGGGGATGTTGGGGATGCTGGGGATGCTGGGGATGCTGGGGATGCTGGGGATGCTGGGGATGCTGGGGATGCTGGGGATACTGAGGATGCTGGGGATGCTGGGGATGCTGGGGATGCTGGGGATGGATTCAACAGATTTGTTCACAGGAAACGTGACTCTGGTCCTCGTTACCGTTCACAAGTATTGAAAATTTGAAGCCGATTGGTTGAGACGTTCTCGAGTTATGAACAAAATAACATCGAAAAGTTTGAGTTACTAAAACAAATAAAAAAAATCAGGTATCCCCTTTGAGGGATAACTAATAATCTTTATTCCTACAGAGTACATAATACGACTGATAAAGACCTGGTAGTCTACATTAGCATACAGTAAGCCTTGATAATACAAAGTATTTCAGGTAGCCTTATCTTGCCCCCCCCCCCAGGATGCAGCCCACACCAGTCGACTAACACCCAGGTACCTACTTTCTGCTAAGGCGAACAGGAGCGGGTGTAAGGAACTATACCCAACGTTTCGACCCGATCCGGGATCGATCCCCGGACCCTCCGTGTGTGAGCTGTGAACGTGTATCTGAGTATAACAGGTGGTGTTATACAGCATGCAGTATACAACAGAATACGTAAGTAACATACAGCAATATAATATTATATATACGGAAGAACATCACGCTTAAACGGGGAATACTTAAACAGGAGAGTGAGGGGAATATCGTGGTACAGCAAGTGGTAAGATATAGGGGAACAACGGTAAAATACTGAAACGGAGACACTATAACAGGAGAATAAGGGGAGTGTGGCGTTACAACAGAACTCAAACAGGAAAATGAGTTGGATTATTGCTTCGACAGGTCACTGGTAAAGGGAAGAATGATTGGGAAATGTCGCGCTCCAAAAGAACATAAACAGAAGGAGGGGAAATATCGTATTAGAACAGATCACTATTAAGTACCAGAGTGAGGGGGAGAGGTCACCCTTCAACGGATCACAAGCAGAAGATGAGAGGAATATCGTACCAGAAAAGAATACCAACGGGAGAATGAGGGAATATGGTACCAGAAAAGAATACCAACAGGAGAATGAGGGGAATATCGTACTAGAAAAGAATACCAACAGGAGAATGAGGGGAATATCGTACCAGAAAAGATACCAACAGGAAAATGAGAGGAATATCGCTCTACAACAGGTCACTATAAGCAGCAATGTAATATCGTTCTACAACACTAGAGAATGAAGGAAATATCGCTCTACAAGAGGTCACTATAAACAGAAGTGTAATATCGCTTTAGTCCACGTACCTGACTGACAGTCAAGGCAGGAAGACCGCGAGGTGAACCCAAGCGGTGTTGGGATC